GTCCTTCCTCCTCCCCCACCCCGCTCCTCGTCACCCCATTGCCTGGCACATGTTATTCCACAATGGGGATCCAGGGTAACGTATTGTCTCCTCCATTTGCTTGGCACGTATACTGTGTTGATGGGCGAGATGCTTCGGTTGCCATCATCGCCATCATCGCAATCACGGCCCCCATGGGGAAGCATAGCAATTGCCATCATCGCCATCACCGCCTATGACAAGCATAGCCATTCTCATCACACTCGTCACCATCATCACCATCATCATCACCGTCAGCATAGCCATCGCCATCATCACCGTCGTCATCGTCATCATCAGCATGAATCGCACATCATCATCATCGTCATCATCATCACAGCTGTCATCGTTATCATTATCCGCAGCCGTTTTGGCTCAGTCACTTGTGGCTCATGTCCGTTGTAATGAAGGTCCCTTTTGCACTCTTCGCATGTATGATAAGTCAATTGTGGGCGCCACCACGCGCAGAGATTCGACTGCGCGGAGGGTGGAGACAAAGACAAGCTGCTCAACGCTTGGCCGACGAGCCTCAGGCATCGTCGATGTCCTGCTTGGCAGGCGGCCAATTGCTTCTGTGGGCAGACGGCGTTATTTCAGCTGCGCAGCTTCAGCGCACGATGGCCGACGCTGTCGCAGATGGGCTTGTCCATCCAATGGTCAAGCGACTCGCCCAGCTACCTCCTGGTGGCCGCGCCAACGCAGCCCTCGTTCGCTTGCTGATCACACAGACATCCCTCGTTGACAGGCTGAGTGCGCTCGACAATGGGCCTATCCACAACATGATACTGCCGTCGGAACTGATCAACACCTTGTGTACTATGTACCCAGAAGAGTTCAAGCGGTGCTTTGGTGCTGAAGAAAATCTGGTTCGCGAGCTTTGGCAAGGGATTCAGTCGTCTACAGCTGCCAAGGCCCATCTTCGGGACCATCCTGCGATCCAAGGGATGACTTTGGATGAGCTGTCGCACGTTATCCCTCTGAGTGTGCACGAGGACTCGGGCCCAATAACTAAACGGTTGAGTGCTAACCACGTGTCGTTCGCATCGGTACTTGCCGATGGTTCTGAGAAGCGTATTCATTATCTCATTGCCACACATGTGAAAGAGACAGGGGAAGGTGTGCAAACGAGAATGTGGGAACTTCTTTTACGAGACTTTGATTCGCTTCTCCTTGGCGTCTCTGGAGGTCGCATCATCGCGCCTGCAGGCCCTGGCCAATGCTGGAAATTCTTGTTTTTGTTCTGCAAGTGTGACGAAGAGGCTCGTTCAAATGTGTTTGGGTTTCCACATTGGAGTGCTGGGGAACAGATGTGTTCGGAATGTTTGGCAGACAGAACCCATCGTCCGTTTACAGACCTCCAAGGGTCCGCGGCCTGGCGTTCGACTGAGATCTCATCGCGTGGCCCGTGCATTGCAAGAGTCAGACAACCACTTCACCCGCTCGTGTCGAGCAAGTACTTTTGGCGGTACATGTTTTATCTGGACCTAATGCACGTCATGGATTGCAAAGGGGTGTCGGCCCTGGTGCACGGCGGTGTTGTTGCTACATTAATAGGGGACGCTCGGCTGGGGCCAAACCAGGCTGCGAGATTGGCCCTGGTGAACTCCAGAATGAAACAGTGGTATACTGATCATCCACAATCGGTTCGGCTACCGCCGATTCTGTTGAAGAACGTGTATAATGACGGCTGGGCAGATCTGAGTGGCCCAGCAATCAAAGCAGCAGCCACTCGCCATGCCGCAGGTTTCTTCAGAGACTTGGTTTTGGAGTTCTTTACATCCCAAACGCCACACGATTGCTCGATCAGAGATGTCACTGCCACCCTTGTTGAATTATACGACATCATATCTCGGCATGGCAGGTTCTTGCCGAGAGGTGCCATCTTGCGCGCGCAGGCTTTGTGCATCAGCTTCGGTACCTCATACCAACGGTTGCGAAACATTTGCAGGGAGAGGCATCAGATGCATTGGCCAGTAAAGCCAAAATGCCACAAGATGCAGCATTTTCCATTGCTTGCGCGCGTCATCAACCCAATGAGGTTGACATGCTACGCAGACGAGGGGCAGGTTGGGACAACCTGCCAGGTTTGGAAGCGCTGCGTGTCAGGGCCATGGAGGCCCCATGCGCAGCGACTCGTGTTGATCAAGAGATTGCTGGCGCTTACGCTGCGTTTTGAGATTGATAGGGCCACGACTCGCTAGGCAACATAAAATGATGCGTGGACTGTTGCAGTTCAGAAATACCCAGAGGCTTTCGCCATTCCGCCAACCCGCCCTGCTACTCCAGAGGCTTTCGCCATTCCGCCGCCCTTCCCTACCCCCTTGTCCTCCTCCTCCTCCTTTTCCTCCTCCTCCCCCTCGTCCTCCTCCTTCTGAGGCGCGCGTCTCCTTCTCCTCCTCCTCCTCCTCCTCCTCCTCCTCCTCCTCCTCCTCCTCCTTCCTCCTCCTCCTCCTCCTTCCTCCTCCTTCCTCCTCCTCCTTGCCCTTGGGACCCCGCTTGGGACTCCCCTTGGGCCTCGCGTTCCTTGGGCCCCTGGTCGAAGCCTTGGGTTCCCCGCCCTTCAAGGCGCCTCTGCCATTGGGTCTGCCTTGTTAGGCCCCGTGGAGGCATGTGTGGCGTAGATCAATTATGGTAAACAAAGTAAGCTATAATATGGTAGCGATAATTAAAGATAAGTAAAATTAAATAGCAACTACTTAAGTTTATTTAACGTTATTTAAAGCTAAGTCAAAATAATTAGCGACGGCGTCATAATTAAAAAACTGCGGAAAACCAAAGTCTGGGCTCGCTGCCAGGTGCTCCGCACCTCGCGGCCTCTCCTGGCCCGCGGCGGCCCACTGCTCGCCCTTTTCCGCCGCCCCAGACCTCGCGCGTGAGGTCGCTGGGATGCCCTCCTGGCCCAGGGCGCAGGTCTGCGGGCCTCCTCGTCCGTCGGGCCCCCCCTGGCCGTGTCGGCGGTCTACCGGCCGCCACCTCTCAGCCCGTCTGCGTCTCCCGGCGATCGGGCTTCTGCCCTTGCTCCGCCTCGTCGCTGGATCAGGGCCCCCCGCCGCCGCCCATCCGCGCCACTTGGCGCTTGGCGATCCGGACGTCCTGTCGAGCGCCCGCGCGTCCTGCCCTTCCTCGCGTCGAGGGTCGCCGTCGTGCGATGGTTCCTGGCGTTGTTCACGGCGTGTTGTTCGTCGCGACGGTCTCCCGCATATGGATCGTGGGCTTCTCGAATTGCCTCTTGGCGTTGCACGGCGCCCAGAAGTTCCTCCTCGTGCCGGCGCGGTTCTGAGCGGCAGTCAGTGAGGTTCGCTTGCTGTCCTCTCTCCTGCTCGCGCTTGTTCATTGCTCTTCGCCATCCATCTCCGCTGCGCTAATTTAGGTGGCTGCCCGTGCGCAATAATCTGGGCGCCGCCCGACTCTGCCTCGCCGCGGTCGCGATCAAACAAGAACGCGCGTCTGGCGGGGCCGGGCTTGTGGTGAACAGGGGGCTATCAATTCACTCTGGCGCGCAACTTTATTCCTCGTAGAAATCAGGGGGCGAGACATGGGGGAAAACTGTAGTAGGTAAGCGCAAGGTGCACCGATGGGGGGATCCATTGCAGTGATGGTCGGAAAAGAATTTCAGCAACGAAGCAACGCAATGCAATTGCAATATTTCGCGTTGCGCAGCCAGACGCCCAGGGACAACGACTGACGACCGTCTTGCCCTTCGCGCTGAGTAACCAAATGGATTGGAGGGACCGGACATATTGCCCAAAGACGTTTGCGGCCCATCGAACCACTGGCGTGCCCCATAGCACTGCGCGGGCGTTGCAGTTTGCTCAGCCACGACGCGCATGCACGTTTATGCCTCGCGCTGACGTTGTCATCCAAGATGCGCGCGGCAATTCCGTAAACGGTCAGTCGTTGTCTGCGCCCAAAGCCCCTTGGACACCTTTTGGGGGAACTTGGTGGTTCATTGGGGCCTCTCGGGGGCATCGGGCGGGGATCTTGGGCTCACGTTGGAAGGGGGGTCCTTAGCGGCCGAGCGGCGCACTTCATGACTTTTCAGGTCGCAAGCCGGCGCCGAGGGCCTCCAACGCGGGCCGCGAGACTTCCAAGGACGGGGGGCCATGTTCGGGCGCACTGGAAATCCATGCCCCCGAGAGTGAGATAGTACACCGGGCGATTCTGCAGGGGCTGAAGGAGAGGGGGGGGTAATCGCTTGATATTGGCTGCCTGCGTGGATGCTCGCGCGGCTGCCGGGGTCGGCCGTTCCTGGGTGTTTGGGCCTTCAGCGTTGCCGACAGGCTGTGTCTTGGAGGCGTGAGTTCTCGGCCTCTGGGGGCTGAGGACGCAGCGCTGCGCCTCTGGTCAGGGCCGGGCCTGCCAAGGGCGGGGTCTCGCCTGCTTTATTTTACTTTCCTGTCGCCCACCCTCGCATCTCCAACTCCGATGGCGATGCGCTGCCGGATCTGCGCCGCCCGCGGCGTTGACGGCCCCGCCATGCCGGGCGCGAAGGTCTGCGCGGCGCACTTGGCGTTGGCCGCGGCGGCCCAGCCGCCGGGCTTGGCCGGGGCCGCCGACCCAGCTGACAGCGGCGCCGGCTTGACGCAGCCCACCGCCGGCCTGAACATCGACGCGGCTGGCGAGGCTGAGGGCGCAGTCCTTGGAGTTGCACCACCCGCGGCCTCACCTGCGGCCTTCTCCGTGCCCCCCGCCGTGCCGATCCGTCCGATCGCTGATGGGCTCATCCGCGAGTGGCTCGACGACGAGGTGCCGACGCACTTCCCGATCGTCCGGGCCGCCGAACCCAGCCAGCAGTCTGCCCCAGAGACGTCGTTCCAGCTCCCTAAAGATTGGGCTGGCCTGGCCAGCATCTTCAACAAGCTGGGGTGCCATCTGGGCTCGGAGGGCCACTGGCGTGCACTCTGTTACGCCATGTACGAGGGCCCCGACCCCTCCGCGTAGCTCATCGGGAGCTGCTTGCGCACCGTGAAGTACTTTTGCAGCCTGGCGGGCACCATCGGCGGCTGGGGCCCGGCCGACGTCCTGAAGGCGCGCGCCGTCGCGGACAAGATCGCCCAGGACGCGCCCAGGTGCGAGGAGGACCTGCCCGAGGTCCTGCGCGCTCGCCGCAAGATCATGGCAAGCGCATTTCCATTGTGGAAAGAGCTGGGCCAGGACGGGCTCAAGCTCATGGACAGCGCGAAGGCTTTCGCGGACGAGACCCCGTACACACAATGGTCCAACATCCTTGCCAACAACACGGCGCCGAACACCGTGCCGAGGTCCCGGAAGATCGCTGCGATGGCGGAGAAGGGCGACGACAGGGCCTGGGAAGAGTTGAAGGGGATGGCGGTCACCACGTGGGCGCCCTCTGGCACCGACGCTCTCGCCCGCTTCCTCGCCTCCTTCATCCGGCGAGCTGGCTCGTCGAATTGCCCAGTCAGCGCGCGGCTGCTAGCGCCGCTCCCTCTTCGACCTGGCATGGATACCGCGGCAGATCTTATGGACCTTTGGTGGTCCCCCCTCTTAGGCGATAGGTGGGCCTCCATTGTCAAAGGCTTCTTCTTCGTACCGCGCCCCTTCGAGACGGTGCCCCCTGGCTGGAATAGCCCCCGCCACGCCCGAAAAAGGGGCTCGCAGTTTTCAACCTGGGCTTCGCTGGGCCGAAATTCACCCCCAGGGCCGTGACCTTCAACGCGGCCCTCCTGGAGCTGGAAGCGGTCTCCGGCACGACGGGGGACGTGCTCGCCGCGAGCATCGCAACATTTTACGCCATCATGCAGAATCCGCTCTCGAGCAACATCCATTGCCGACCTCCACAGCGAAGCGGCGCCAGTACGGAGGAACTCCCACGGGTCACCGTCGACCTCCTCTTCCCCGAGGGCGTCGACCAGTTCGCCCAGTTCCTGCAGCTCTGGCATCTGTCGCACCGTCTTCCCCGAGAACGCGCTTTTTTGGCAGCGTGCTGATGCGCGGCGACCCCGGCGCCATGATCCTCGAGCTCAACGGCTCGACCTCCTTACACCGTCATTGGCCACCCCTGCACGCAGCTTCTGATGTACTCCGACGCTGCCTCCGAGACGTGGGCGGAGGTCCTCGATCTGTGTCTGAAGGAGGACCCCTCTACAGCGGCCGCCGTGCTCAAGTCGAAGCCGCCCTGTGCGACAACTTAACTTGTGCGACCACATCACCGACATCAGGGTCAAAAGGGAGGCGGGCAGGGAGGATGGGGATGTTCTTCGTCGCATCCTCGAGCACGCCAGTTCGACCGCTGGGCTCGTGCTGTCTGAGACCGCACCGGACGCCGCGCCGAAGGCAGGGGAGTTCTACCACCTCGCCTCCACGGACCAGTACGCGCCCCCTCGCTGCCGACGGCTCTTGCCCCGCAGCACCGATGAAGTTCGCAGGATTCATGCCGCTATCCATGGGCAGACCGTCCGCGTGGGCACTGACAGGGTCGCCATTGAGATCCTGAGCACCCCCGCGCAATTGAGCCCGCTGCCGGAAAACGTAGCTGATCGAGACACCGGCGGCCGCCGCCTCGACGCGGGGTGTCTCTCGGGCCCGCGGCGCGGGCGTGGAATTTATTGCGCGAGTGAGTCTTGGGAGGGCTACTGCGTTGCTGATGTAGTTATTCGTCTCCACCCCGCTCAGGCGGGGCCGGGCGTTTCGGACCACTGACGGCCAGGTGCCTCCCCCTCCGGCGCTGCTGATGACGACCGACTTCTTCTTGCGTTAATTTCAATTTTTTTTGTGATCGCGAGCTTCTACCTGGCCGGTCTCTGACAGACAATCGAGGCGATGTTCCACTTTCTGTTTATCGCCGTCAGAGGCTTCTGCGCGCCTTGGGCGAGCTGCCTCCAGACGCCATCTCCATGCCGGCCCTCTCGGCCCCGCAGACGGTGGTTTCGACGGGTAAATCCAGGCGGGGCCAATTCTTATTGGACGTCGCGGTGTCTTCGTGGAACGCGCAGGCCCTCATCGCCACGGGCCCGCGAAGCCATGGCCTCACGCGGCCACAAACTGGTCGCGAGGTCCGACGTCTGCTTGCTGACGGAGACCCACGGCGCCGTCGCTGGGAACGCCGCTTGGAGGCCTCTCATCGGCAGCGCTGCCTGGGGGTCGGCCGGCCCCTCGCCGGGGCGCGCGGGGGTCGGCATTATCGTGAATGACTCGCTCCTCAAGCTCTTCTCGCATGTCGCCCCGCTCGAGGTAATCTGGCCCGGGGGGGCGGCCGAGCTCAAGCTGCGCGGCCCCCGTGGCGCTTTGGATATCATTGCCATGTATTTCCCCACTGGCGCGAGAGTCACCGAACAGGATCTCTTCGGCGTGGACCGCATCCAGGCGCGACGCTGCGACGACGTTCCCCGCCCTCCGCGCGCGCCTCCGCAACCGCCTGGCGGGGGGGGGGGCCCTGAGGAACGGGCGCTCACCATCCTCGGCGGCGGCTTCAACTGCGTGGCCTCGCCCAGCGACAGGACTGCCATAGCGTCGCAAACGGCCGCGGGCAGACGGGGCCAGGGGGAGTGGAGTCACTTCCAGACAGTCTTGGCTCGGCCCCATGGATTTCACGAGCTGTTCCAGGGTGAACCTACCCATGCATCGGCTTCCTCTCGATCGCGATTGGACGCGCCTCTACGCGAACTTCCACGCGTCGGAGCAGCTGGGCCGCTGCCTCCGAGCCTCTGCTTTGGAATGGTGCCCCGAGTTATCGGCGCGCAGGGCGATTTACGCTTCCTGGAGCACGCCGCAGAGGACCCCAGGGCACGCTCGCCCAGTGGCCGACCGCGCCCTCCGACACGACGACTTTCCTCGCCTCTTAGCTTTGGACTATTACCAGAAACTCGAGTTGCACCCGGGAGCATCGGCGATTCGCCGTCTACATTTGTCCTAAGAATCCATCAAGGAGGTGGCGGCGCGCTTGGACGCCACGATGGGCAAGCCCCCCGCTGCCGTGGGCCTCGAAGACCGGCCGGGGACCACGATGATATTCATACAGAACGTCGAAAATAGGCATGATGGGAGCCATCTCGTCCTTTCATCGAGCGGTGCCGTCGTCTCGCCGAGATAATGGGCAACCCTTGCGGCATCGGCGGTAACCTGTCGAGTCGTCTTCGGCCGGTCAGGGATCACGCGATAGAGTTGGCCAGAGAGCACGCCTTAGACGAGCTCAACAAATCGCGCGCGGACCTCGGCACCGGCAACGCTGCCGAGGCCGCTCAGGCGAGGCAGAAGAACTTGCGCTTGATATTCCGGCCCGCCCCCGGCAGCGCGGGCAGCCTTTCGGCCGCCCTCGCCAGGAACGGCCAGATCCTGACAGGCTCTGCCGAGATGGCCGCATAACCCCGCAGACATTGGAAGAGCGTTTTCCGTGCGAAGGGCATCGACATAATCTTCCTCGAGAATGGGCTCAACGAGGACGCCGACAGCAGAAGCAACAAGGATATCGTCGAGGACACCCCCGCGATTGCCCGTCTCCGCAGGCGCCACGTCCGACGCGCCATCCAGCGCTCCAACAAGTCTTCCCCGGGCCCTGGTGGAATCAGCCTCTTCGCTAGGAGAAGATGCATCAAGCTCTCCACGACAGTTCTTTTCGACGCAGTGCGAGTGCTGATGGACGATCCCGGCTGCGCGGCCATAGACGAGGAGTGGCCCCTTTTCAACGCGAGTTTGCTTGTCTTGCTGCCCAAGAAGGCTTCAGGCACCACGGCCACAGGCGAGGGCTATTTCTCAGCTGAGAATACGAGTCCGCTGAACGTGACCAACACGGACAATCGTCTGCTCGCCAGTGGTGTTCGGCATCTCGTGGAACCGATAATCGCCCCGAACATCATCGATACCCAGGGGGGCTTCATCGCAGGGCGCAGCATGCTGGCCAATCTGGTGGACATCGAGGAGGCCATGGCAACCAGCGCGGGCGCGTCTGACGAGGGAGGGGCGCCCTTCTTCGACTTCGCCGCCGCGTTCCCGTCCGTGGGGTACGACGTGTTGTTCGCGGTGTTTCGGAAGCTCCGCTGGCCTGCTTGGCTGGTCAATTTGTCGTTTGCCTGTGCTATCGCAACTCGTGCCCCGTCGCGCTCGGCGGCGCCCGGCACGCTGACTTCGATTTGGCGCGGGGCATCCGCCAAGGGTGCCCCCTGTCACCGCTGCTGTTCGCGGTGGCGTCGGACATCCTGCTTCGGCAGCCCGGAAACACGAGTGCGCGCCTGCGCCGATGACGCGGCCTTCGTGCACGCTGCCATCTTCGAGCACATCGGCGTGATCCGGGACATGTTCGTTGAGTGCGAGCGCATTTCCGGCCTCCGGCTGAACATCGACAAGACAGTGTTCGTGCCGCTCTTCCGGTATGTTCGCGATGAGGTCCGAGAGCCCCACGGGGCGACCCTTGTGGGCCGTCTGGGGCCTTCTAGGGTCTCTCGCGGGCTGTCTCGGGGCTCCTCGGGGGCGTCTGGGGCACTGCGAAGACGAAGCCAGCGAGTATGATGAATATGTACGTTTTACTAGGGAAATGGGCCGATGTTTGCATCTTGAAAGCCCTCTTGGGGCCCTCGCAGGCCCTCTTGGGGCGCTGCTGGGCGTCTTCGGGACCTCTTCAGGCTTCCTTGACCATCTGCACGGCCCGCGTGGCCTGTCGTGGCCAATTTGGAAGCGGCCCGGGGCAGTCCCGGGGGGTCTGTGACCCCCCAAAAGTTCGGGGGGGCGGCTTTGGGGGATGACGGCGCTGATTTTGCCCCCCCTCCCGGCCTACTCATATATATATATATATACATGCATATATATATATATATATATATATATATATATATATATGCATACATGAACCACGCGCGCGATTCGCAGGCGCTTAGGTTCTACCCTGGCGCGAGCGTCGGATGCGCCGCGGAGCGAATGGTTCGTCGCCGGCTCACTCGGGAAGCCCCCTTGCGGGGGGGGCGCCCCCGATCCAGGACAGGGCGAAGTGCCACGGCATGGTCGTCGGCCCGGGCCGAGGCGCCAGCTCATGCGACGCCCCTCTCCGCGAATTCATCATGAGAGCCGTGCTGCGGGGGCAAATTGGCGCAGGTATTCTCCGCGCTTTCTTGGCCATCCAGGTGCTTGTGTGCTCGGTGATCATGTTCGTCGCGCAGCTTGACCCGGCGCCGCGCGCGTTCGAGGCGATCGGGCCACATGCGCGCCGCGCGCTGTTCCGCGGCACCAAGCATTGGTTTTCCCCGGGCGCGCTGAAGGACCTGAAGTCGCTGAGCTTCCCGACGGCCCTCCCCGACGTCCAGTCTGCCGCGCGGGCGGCCATGGCCAGGGTCGCCAGATTCGCGAATTCCACGCGCGGCGGCATCCGGATTCAGGCCCGCGCGCGCCAGCTCCTCTGGGCGAGCCGCGACGCCAGGAACCAGCCCCGAGCCCGGTGCTTCCAGCAGCACGCCGACCAGAACTTCTTGTTCTCGCTCCGCGGCGCCACAAGTGAGCTTGCGGCTGCCGAGCGACAGCTGCGCGGTGAGCCGCCGCTCTTGGATCCCGCGAGCCCTGCCGCCCAGGGGCGGGGCGGGTGGCGGGCCCAGGCCAAGCGGTTTTTTGTTGTTGCTTTCTGGCCCTCCGCGGCAACGCGCAGTAGGAAGCGCGCGGGCAAGTGGCAGCTCGACGTCCTGCCCGGCCACCAGCCCGCACGGTGGCTCAACGCTCTCGCTCTTTCCTAGCCCCCCCCTTCCCCCCAGAGCGCAGGCGCGTCAAATTCGGACTGCTTGGGCCGGGTGGATCACTGCCCGCCGCGTCGGCACGTCAGAGGGGCGCCTTTTCAAGTGCCCGCGGGGGGGGCGGCCTACAGCGCTGCGCTTTTTGTGGCCCCTTCCATTCCTTCTGCCATCAGCGCCTCGGCCTTAGCCGGCCCCCCGCGCAAGAGTGCCTCGGTGATTTCCTGCGCGTTCGCCCGCGCGAGCGCCCCCGTTCAGCGCGCTGCCAGGGCGGCAGCGCCGGGGCCACGGCGGCAGCGATCCGGGCGATAAGTGCGCATGCATTGTATAGAACGCACAACGCAATGAGACGCGGCCTCCGCGCCGCAGACGGGGCCGACGCATTCCGCGGCTTTGTCCGCGAAGCGGTATCCTGCCATTCTCGCGCCCAACATCTCGTTGATATCGCTTTCAAGAGGCCCCGCCAGGACAGCTAGCAGCCGCGCGCGTCACCGAATGAATGTTTTGTTCCATCTCTGCCCCCCCTCCTTGTCTCTTTTTTATATATATATATATATATATATATATATATATATTCCCGCGCGGCAGTCGCTACCACTTGCATGGCATATAATATGTGTGGCAATTGTGCCCACGTCGCTGTGATGCGAGCTTTCTGTAGCATTGTACTCATGTTCCCGCTCGCCCCGCCCTCCCCCCTCCTCGTTCTGCTCCTCCTCCTTCTCCCCCTCCTCCTCCTCCTCCTCTCCCCCCCTCTCTTCTACAGGGCTTGGTCAGCACTATCGTCCCACGTTGCGCTTCGCATCGCTTGCGATCGCGGCAGATTCGCTTTCGCTCGGCCTGGGGGCCGATATATTTCTCGGCGCATTCGTTAATCCAGCTACGCAGTACGCGTTATGATTTTCGCCTGGGTGGCCGGGATGTCCGGCAGCGTCAGTCTCGCAAGTCCCTTGTTGTGCGCAACGGCTCGCCTACGGCAGGTTGGCCTGAGCGTTGCTCCAGTTGCCTTGGATTTCTCCTCTGCCCGTCCCCCCTCTCTCCTGCCTTGGCGTTTGCATCCTTTGGCCGTCGAGGCCGTTCAATACGGGTCTGTCCAACGTCAGCTTGGCAGGCCAGGAGATGATACGCAGCAGGGTTAATCCGGAAAGCGCGCCAGCGGACGTCCCTGAACACACAAAAAGGAGGGCGCGCTCGCACCCCCCCCCCTCCAAGGGGGGGTGAGATTTTGGACCCCCCCCCCCCTTCCTTCCTTCCTTCCTTACGGGGGGGGGTTCCGAACCCCCTCCCCCCTCCTTGAAGGGGCGGGGGGGGTTCCGGACCTCCCTCCACCCCTTCCCCCATTGGCGCTGGAAAGGGAGGGGGCGGGGGGGGTCGACCCCCCCCCCTCCCCCCCTTGCGCCGGAAAGGGAGCCGGGGGGGGGGGGCCTCTCTCGCTTCTCTTTTCTGCGCCGGAGAAGGTGTGTAGGGAGAGCGGAGTGCGGGGCAGGGGGTGGTGAATAGTGAGTAGTGGGTTCGTGCGTAGTGAGTAGGGAGTATTGGTTAGTGAGTAGGGGGTAGTGAGTGGCGAGTAGGGAGTAGAGAGTAAGGAGTTGGGAGTAGTGAGTAGTGAATACTGAGTAGTGTGTATTGATAAGTAAGTAGTGAGTAGCGAGACGTGAGTAGTGAGTAGCGAGTACTGAGTACTGAGTAGGGGTGTAGGGAATGAGGAGTAATGTGTAGTGGGTAGTGAGTAGTGGGTAGTGAGTAGTGGGTGGCGAGTAGTGATTAGTGAGTAGTGAGTGGTGCGTAGTGCGTAGTGCGTAGTGAGTAGTGAGTAGTGAGTAGAAAGTAATGATTAGTGAGTAGTGAGTGGTGAGTGGTGAGTAGTTAGTAGTGAGTAGAGAGTAGCGAGTAGTGAGTAGTGAGTGGTGAGTTGTGAGAAGTGAGTAGTAAATAGTGCGTAGTGAGTAGTGAGTAGTGCTGAATAGAGAGTAGTGGGTAGTGGCGGTGGGTGGTGAGTAGTGAGTAGCGAGGAAGGAGTAGCGAGTAGTGAGAAGTGAGGAGCGAGTAGGGCGTAGTGAGTAGTGATTAGTGAGTAGAGAGTTGTCCGTAGTGAGTAGTGGGTAGTGATTAGTGAGTAGTGAGTATTGAGTAGTGGGTAGTGAGTAGGGAGTAGGGAGTAGGGAGTAGGGAGTAGGGAGCAGTGAGCAGTGAGTAGTAATAAGTGGGTAGCGAATAGTGGGTAGTGAGAAGCGACTAGTGAGTAGTGAGTAGTGGGTGGTGAGTACCGACTAGTGACTAGTGACCAGTGACTAGAGGCTATGTAGCGACTAGTGCGTAGGGAGTAGTGAGTAGTGAGTAGTGAGTAGCGGGGGGGGGAGTAGTGAGTATTGAGTAGCGAGTATGGGAGTAGCGAGTAGTGAGTACTGAGTACTGTGTAGTGAAGATTGTGTAGGGAGTAGCGAGTAGCGAGTAGTGGGTAGTGAACAGTGATTTGTGGGCAATGAGTAGTGAGTAGTGAGTACTGAGTATTGGATAGTGGTTAGTGGGTAGTGAGTAGTGATTGGTGAGTAGTGTGTAGAGAGTATGGAGTAGTGATTAGTGCGTGGTGAGTTTTGAATAGTGGGTAGTGAGGAGTGAGTGGTGAGTACTGAGTAGGGAGTTTGGAGTAGTGAGTAGGGAGTAGTGAGTAGCGAGTAGTCGGTGGTGGGAACTGAGTAGTGGATAGTGAGTAGTGAGTCGTGAGTAGTGAGTAGGGGGTAGTGAGAAGTGAGTAGCGAATAGCGAGTAGTCAGTAGTGGGTAGTGAGTAATGAGTAGTGAGTACTCTTTGGGGCTGGGGTTAGTGGTTAGGGGTTAGGATTAGGGTTTTGGGTTAGGGTGGGGACTAGGGGTAGGGGTGGCGGGGGTCGGGTTCCGGAGTCAGGGGGCGGCGTGGCGAACGGGGGGGCGGGGGGGGGCGGCCAAAGGGGGGAAGGGGGAGGGAGGGAGGGGTTCCCGACGACGGACCAGGAAAGGGGGGGCGGGGGGGGGTTCCCGACGACGGATCGGGGAAGGGGGGAAGGGGGAGGGGGTCCCCGACGACGGATCGAAAAAGGGGGGGGGGAGGGGTTTGTGCCCCCCCCCCCCCTTTGGGAGATCCAGCGGCGCGCCCTCGTTAACTTGGTGTTTCGCCATCTGGCTTCACTAGTCCCCTCGTCGTCCTCTTCCTCCTCCTCTTCTTCCTCTCTCTCGGCACTGTGTGTGCTTCCGTTCCCTCACGCCTGATGAGGAAGAAAACGGCTTTCAAGTGAAACCGGCATTCGCGTTACGACGGTGGTTCTTGAATCATGCGGTCCGCTCCCATCTTCTCCCTCCCCCCCAAAAAAAAGGGCTGTGTCTTGGAAGCGGGTACCACGCGCGGGGCCTTTGAAACCGATGGCCGCCGACTTGTTGGATTAGAGGCTATCCAACAATGTCTCCGCCTGCCTTGGCCACTCAGTGGTCGTGGCGTGTGTCGCCGGGTCCTGGTGGCGTGGGCCGACGGTTCTTGCGACGGGCGTCGCAGGGTCTTGCCTACCGTCAGCGGGCGCAACAGGGGTCGGTAGCCCGGGGGAGGGTCGTCGAAGACATGGGCGATCAGAGCCCCTGGATACCTGTAGTTCCGCCCTCGGGGCTATCCGCCCCTGTTGCAGCCGCCGAGCCCACAGGGGTGCCCCCATAGGCCCACAGGGTTCCAATGCTCATGAGGTCCGGACCGCAGGGCCTCGCCCACGGCGTGGGCCACAGCCTCGGTGTCTCGCTCACAACACACGTGTATCATGGCTTGCCTTCGTTCAGATGCATTATATGAGTGGCGCCCAATTTATTGCACCCTGCAAATTGGCCTCCGTAGGTTGAACCCCGTGAGTTGCACCTCGGCCGATATGGGTTTACATGCTGCGCTGCACGCGGTGCACCTAAAGCAACGTGCACTTTGTGAGTTTCACCTGATCATTTTACACGGTTTACTGTTTACTGGTTTGGGCTTGATTGTTGGGGGTTGCTGTTCGGTTTCTTCACGTTGTCATCTCCATGGAGTTGTACCAGGCCCATGGTCGCTTGGGATATCGCCTTCGGGCTACAACGCTTGGCGTTCTGCGAAGCAGGACAGTTCAAGCTTATGCATGGTATTTGGCGCATCGATGGGGACAAATGTCCATACATCGTCGATCTGTGTTCTGTAACCTCCCTGGGCTGCCAGGCGGCGTAGGAACGTCATGTCTTAATTTACAGCCAGCTGGTCGACACGATGCCGTGGCGCGGCATCGCATGTTCAGTTACATCGAGCGGTTGTTGTGATTTTTCGGCAGGAGCTCGTTGATTCTGCCGTGCGTCGTTGCATGCCCGCGTCGTAGCCTGCCGTCGATCCCGCGCTTTTCGGGTTGTCCCAGATCCTCCACCCCCTCCCCATATCCTCCCTCTCCTGTGGTCGATCAATTAGGACAACGACGCGTGGGTGCATGCGGAAGCGCGCATGCACACGGGCACGTCATGCAGACGTCGCGGAGGAGGAGGAAAGAGGGGACGGGAGGAAGGAGCGGGTGATTGAGGATGGACGTGAGCGGATGTGGTCGGAGGAGGGAGGGGGCGAGAGTCGCGAGGATGATATTGTTAAGATATGGAGGGGGAGAGAGCGAGGAGGTAGGAAACGGGATGATGGCAAAGGGAGAAGGGGAAGCGAACAAGCGCTAGCGCCATATCTGATATCCTCCCCTTCCCACCCATCCTTTCCCATTGCGTTGTGATGTTTTCTCTGTTCGCGGACGCGTGTCATAGTGGATGCGGGGCTCAAACAACAGTTTTGTACATAGGGGGAGGAGGAGGAGGAGGAGGAGGAGGAGGAGCTGGCGGACGAGCAGGAGGATGAGCAGGAGGAAGCGGAGGATGAGCAAGGAGGATGACGAGGACGAACAGCAGCAGGGAGCAATGATAATGTCAGGAACGGGAGGAGCAGGAGGACCAGGGGATGGCGGTGGAGGGGAAAGGAGGGGGGTGACAACAACGAGG